ACTATTCTCTCCAGTAAGAACTTATGCTTTTAAAAAATTGTCTCATTTACAATACATACACTACCAAAATCAAATTGCAATGCTAAATCTATTTACAATCTTCTGCAATCTTTCGCAAATATGTGTTACGAGAGATAAAGAATTGTTTTCAAAATTATAAAGAATTATATTTCTTTTTTCTAAAATATTTTTTAAAACATTTTCCAAAATATTTATAAAGTATTTAATGTAATATGGAAATAATTTAAAATAGATAACGCAATAAATTGGTTATATTAAAATTCAATATTATTTCGAATAAATTGTGAAAATTATCTGGTCTGACGATATATATGAATTACGGAAATAATTATAGTATCTAGCGGCGCGGAAACAAACTTCGTCAAAACTCAGTATAATTAAATATTTCTTCTCCTATCTTGTACATCTTCCTATCTTAAAGTACAAAATTTTATAATATTAAAAAGACATAAAAGAAAATCGAAGTTTCTTTTTCAAATACATATATCAAATACATATATTTTTCAAATATATATAGGTACAAAAAATCTAACATAATATAGTTACGTTCCTCACTCTCTCTCTTCTTAAACTTTAATATTAAAATCACAATTACATTATTAACAGATCTAAACAAATATTATACTGTAATCAAAAAATTTATTCAATATTTTCTAATTTTAAACTTTATACTTTTAAAATAAAAAAATAGAACTATATTTACAACAAGTAAATTTATAATAAATAAATTTTCCACAAAAAAACTAATCCATAAAACTTATAATGCTACGAAAATCCTCATTAGCATACTCTTTAATTTTTAATTAAAAATCGAATTATGTCACAAATACCTAATAAATAAAACAGCTAGAAAACTGAGTTTGCAAAATTAGCACAAAAGAAAACGGAATTACAAGAGAAATTTCGATAGAATTTTATTATTTTATCTTCCCAATTCCAATAATATTGCTGACACCCGGCCACGAAATTACGTAAGAATGGATCCCGATTTTGCCCGAAGGTATGTACACCGACAAGACCGACGAGAAAACCGACGAATTTCAATTTTCGCGTGGAAAATCTGCGACACTCCGTACATCACTATGTAGACGGCGCGTATATCTATGTATACAAGCTGCGAGCTCGCACGCGCGTTATGGAATGAGGGCGGCTATTCACCAGATACCGGCGTAACCGGGAAATTGCGAGATCGTGGAAGGTTCTTCATAACTACTGGCGCGCGCGCGAGCGCTCGGCTCCCTGGCATTATTACTCGACAAGTCCTTCACGGCACGGTATAAGGAGTACAACCCTGAAATCCTTTGGGTCTCTGGCGGGAGGTGCCGCGATGAGACGGTGCATCGGAGTTATCAGACGCCAACAATAAAGCCGAACGAAGGGAACGGAGGAAATAATAGAGTGAACGTTTATTACACCCGGTGTGAAGAACATCGTTCGAAGAAGTTCGTATAGCTTGCACGATAGCGCGTACGACGGAAATATCTCTTGCAGGGCAATCAATATGAGAGCAGATCGCAAATAGTGTCAATATCATTTCCACGGTAAATAATTAGTCTTTCTTATAATAAATTATTTAATTATTTTTCAAAAAATATAAATAATAAAATTTACTATACTATACTAATTAAATAGATAGTTTTTACTATTTGAGTAATCAAAAATTTATAATAAGAAAAAGGTTTCTCAAGATATAAAAGATAATAAATTATATATATTATACGTACTACTCGAAAATATGTATTACGTTTCGCTCGCATTCCACAAGAAAAATTTATTGCTTAAAACGGAGATACTTCTCGAGCGACTGAAAGCACATTTTACGCCAACGTGCAGCCTGGATCCGTAATTGGGCTTTGTTGGGCGAATCGTGTTACGTAGCAGGTGACGACAATGACTTGTGTAATGCTAACAGTGATGTAAGCTTAGGTAAGCTTGAGAGAGAGAGAGGCAAAATCTACAGTGACAATTACGTCGAGTATAATTGTAATGTGATTTGGAGTGAGACGTTACCGTGGTGAGATCTCAAAATGACATCATCACTTACTTCAAGTATCCCAAGCACTGTGGTCGAGCACTGTGAAACCTTTCCAGGCGTATAATTAGCACCCAAATTTACTTAACTGAAACGATTTTCATGAGTGGAACGATATAACCATCGAAATACCAGCTATCCACGTATATATAGAAAATCCAATATACCCTCGGTAAAATCCTGTACCTTCCTTGCACAAAATCTTCGTTTCCTGTGCCTTCTGCGCGTCAAAATGTCTCTTCCTGGCAACTTCCTCTCAATCGGAAATCAATAACAACGCTATCGTAACAAACCTATTGTTTTTGATCTCCCCTTAAAACGCGTTTGAAATTCCGGATCTCCGTTCGAAAGCATAAACGGAAAGAAGACAGTATGATTTGTCACTTGTCAGAGTACAATGTCACTGATCAATCAAGTGCGCCATTCACAACCGTCTGACGCGCGACGCAAGAAAAAATGACTTTGCAGCCGTGCGAAATAGAAAAGAATTCCTACCCGAAAGAAAACCTTATCACGCTGTTTTTACGAGGCATTCATAGTAACGAGCAAATCTTCTACGTGCGAAATTAAGAAGCATTCTTTCTCGGAGAGAAAGAACACTATTGCATTAAGATTGATGACTTGTATTATTTCTTTATCGTTTATGTCCAAGATATTCATGTATTCTTAAAAATGTGTGTGTATATATGTATATATATATATAATATAAATTCGTTATAAAAATACATTATACACAAATAAAAAATGTTATGTAAATCATTATGACGTTTTGAGATAAGCCCAAATATTTGAAGCAAATTAAATATAGCAAAGTATTAAAATAAGAGTTTAAAATTTGTAATGGAATTCATATTTATGGCACTCGCGTGTAAAAAAATGCAACTAAAAAAATACCAGTTTCTCGAAACTGACATTGTAAGTTTTCAGGACATAATGCAAGAGGAATGAGAAGGTGTACGATATAATATACTTTCGTGCCTCGGTCTGTGAAAGTTTACGGTAAACGGTCATATTATTCCCGCGGTAAAGTTTTTCATGGGAAAATGCCGCAAGAATATGATAGAAATGGGAAGACCAAACATGTATATTCAGGGAATGGAATTGTAAAAACATCTCGGTGAGACGCGCAAATAAGTTTTTACGACAAAAATCCACAATGAACGCGTATCTCGTGTAGTACTATTTTTATAATCTATTTAGATGTAGAAACGTTTGATTCAAAGTTTTCTATGATTAGCGAAAGATATAAAAAAATTGTACAACAAAATAAAAAAACATTACTGCAATTGTGCGATTTTGCAAATATTTCATGAATCAAAAATCCCACATATATTCATTTCTAACGTTTATTAAGTAAAAAGTATATCGATATTTTATAAATATAATGCACAACAGCTTCATATAAACATTTCAATATAAATAAATAAAATCAGATAATATTAATTATGCTTAACTTTGATGTTAATTTTAACCACCTCAACTAATAATTCAATAACTTTAGATATACAAAAGTTTTATTTGACCATGATCTAATATATGTAAGAACTAAAAAAATTATGCATAAAATTAATAATGCTTTGTGCAAATTTTAACATCTAAAAAGGTATGATATCACATTTCCATAAAACAAGTTCTCCTTATGATTTATGTATTATTCTGCCTATCAAGCGAGATTTCATGTCGCGTTTGTAATTCTAAATATCGATCCATTAAGTCCAATGCAATTAGCAACTATGGCGGAATAACGCGCAGCACGACGTCGACGCACAAAGGAAGGCGTGGCAACGTTCGTCGGACCCTTAATGCCAATGCCAATGTCAGGGTTTTCCCGGTCAATCACCTAAACACCCCTATCTTTGTGTCACGGAAACTCGTTGTAATAATTTTGCTTTTTCTCACAAACCCCTTCGCTTTATCTCTCACCGTCCGCTGATAACTTTTCCACATACGATATTGCACCAAGCTCACTCTCTGAAGAGGATAGAAGCGCATTTACCCCTTCAGCGAGTACTAGAGTCAAACCCTGAGGGTTGAAATATCGACTGCAGGATTGTGACAGATCGCCAGGTTACCGACGCTGGAGCTTTTAGCTTTCTGTTGCTTTCGTATCACACGTTCGTAAACACGAAACGACGACGTAACACATGCATAAAATGCGTGTATTATAAATATCAGTTTGAAGCAATAAATAGTTGATAATTATCGCTAAATAAAAGCTTTAAATGCAAGTCACTGAAGTAATAAAACAGAAGTAGTAAAACAACGTATAAAAACAACCATAGTTTAATTTCGTGACCACTACTTCTCTCTCCACCAACTTGATGGGTCGTTGTTAAAACAAAAACAACAAAAAAAAAGAAAAAACAGAAAAACCGGCAGGCGAGCTTCCAATAATGCCTCGCAAGCACGAATCGAGCAGCTTGAAAGCGTTACTGGTCACTTTTACAACTTAGCACGGCGAATTGCGATAAACTTTAAAGGCACGACAACGCTGTAACAATCCAGTCGTTCGCTTCGAAATCTTTACATCTACGCCTAGAAAATGCGCATGCGACTAATAAGAGCATAAATAACGTGACATCGCGTTTCTGCGATCTAGGAAGCAATTTAGTTAACCGACTTATTATATATGCATCTTGTAAATTTCTTGACACATGTGCAAGCAAATAATTTTGTATATATCTTTCCAAAAATCTCGCATTAAAAACATATTATTAATTGTGTTTTACGTAATTATCTTGATTATCTTGATTAATTATTCGCTTATGCATATTCGAAAGTTATACACACAAAAAATTACTATCTTAAAATATGCTCAATTATTGTGAAATGTATGTAAGTGAAAGAAAATATAATCGGAAGATCTTGAGGACCAAATACGACCGATCATTTAAAGAAAGACTTAGAGAAAGATAAATACAAAAATAATTTTTAACAATTGTCTTACCTTTTGTTTATCAAGAAGATGCATGATTTCGTCGACATCGCCGACGACCACGGATTGTTGTCGTAACATTTCTTCTTCGACAGTGAGCCAATCACGTATCTGTAACATACGCAAACAAAAAACTGTAATACAATATGTTATAAACAGAAACCGTAATAAACATAAATAAACATGCACTCAATCCGACAGAGTGGTAATATTCTCGATTTGATTATGAGGGCTCGACGAAACTCTCTTATGACAAAATCTCTTTATTTGCTTGACTATATCCATCGATATAAAAATAATTTTAATCAATATTTGTTAACCTTATTTTTTAAAAAAATTCTGTAAATTGAAAGATACAATATATCTCCGCTGAGAAATAAAAATAAAAATATTTAACAGATATATACATAAATCAACAAATCATATCAAATCAATAAACCTAACAAATATATATAAAGTAAATACACATAAGTCATCTGAAAACTGTGTCTTCGATTATTGTTTGTAGTCCATAAATCGATAACGTGTCTTAATAAATTGATCACAAATTAATTATTTATTAGCAATTAACTCTTGTCCCCTAACAAACGTACAAATCGGAAATGTGACCATCGTTCGAAAACGGTTGAAATGAGATGGAAAAGAGCCGTCGGCTAGCGAAAAGGGGAGGATGCAAGACCGGAATTGGGATATTTGCTGCCGGAAATTAGCAGGGAGTGTCCGTTCGTAAGTGGCCGACTTCGATTTACCTCGTATCTACCTCAATATCCATTAAAAGACTCGAGACTAAAGAATGCGTGAATGCTAAATATAGCGTTCAATAAAAGTTTGCATTAAATTTCAAAGATATTTCCTGACAAATTTGAAACCGACATCCTTGATTAGAAAATATATTGTAGTTATGGGAATATCAAATAATGACGAAAATCGTCTAAAGTAACTTTCAATGAGGTTAATACTCGTTCACGAAAAAGTTCATAACTTGATTATCCTAAATAGATTAAACCGCTATTGCACAGCATGAGTGAGCATCAAATCATATTACAAATTTGCATTTTCCAACAATCATTACGGCGAACAGTTTTTTCTTGCAAATGGCTCTATTGATGCGTTTAATTAAATATCAAGGCGAATTGTGTAATCGCATTCCGCATTGGAACTACGAGTTGTAAAGCCAATAATACATTTAAAAGCCAGCGCGCGCGCGTAACGCTTCGCTAGACACCGAAAATAGCTCTGCTGGCGATTTTGTTGGTAGCGTAGTTTGTTGGTTGTGCATGGAGAGAAAGAGAAAGAGAGAAAGAAAGAGAGTTCTCTAGTTGAAATACTTCAAAAGATCGCGGCATTCAAATAACATATTGAAAAAAACACCTTGGAATTTTCGGCCTAACACACAGTGATCGATCGATGATGCAATTGCGAGCAGACAAGAAAGCATTCAACGAGGGTTGCCATGGATCGCAAACGTGAAACTTTCGAGAGAGTCGATAAATCGCGGAAGAGATAAACCGTAGTGTTACAGGAAATTAAGGTCTCGCTCGGTCCGGCTACCCTCGGAGTCTGCCACCTAGTCTAAGTGCCTGAGCTCGTTCCGACTTTCATTCACCCTTGTCCGATTCGAAACGACCTTGATTAAGTGCCTGTTGTCGAAAAACGATCATATCTCTTATCGTTCCTCGCGTTAAAATCGGCACAGGCCCGGTAATTTATGTAATTTGCAGTTTTTTTCTCTTTCCTTATCCATTTGTAAAAATCTGACAAAAAAACGAATTATTCAGAACAGAAACTTAAGAATTAAAAATAATTAATGGATAAAAAAATCGACAGAAAAAAAGAACAAATACGCGGGATAGATAAAATTTATTAATTTTAATTAATAGATAAAATTTTAAATATATTGATTCTTTTCACAGAATATGCAGCTTTCTAAAAAGTTGGTTAAATAACAAAAAGTTAGTACAGAATAGAAGCTTCAACCCTTGTAATTTCCGATTTCTGTACAATTGAATATAACCATTATTACCATAATATTTTATACTAGAAAATTTTGCAAATAAATTTGCATGTTTCTGTTATGTAATTTTTAATAATTTTTATATCCGTTCCTACGCGTAAAACATACATTCATTTTGTCAAGAACCATGAAACTGAAGGTTCCATACCAAGAGTTTAACGATCGGTTTTATCACCTAAGCGATAAAAAAAAGACACGATAGGGCGTATACACCTCCCTTCGGAAATCAGCTACGTCAAGAGAGCGATGCTTAGTTATACGATCCGTGCAAAGTTGTTTTTACTGACATTATAACAAACATCATCAACTTTAATCACATTGTTGCGAGTTGTCTCAAAAAACACTTCGTCTCCGTAAGTCGACAACTACTTTTAGTTTAATGGTAGAAAACAAATCCAAAAATAAAAGCTATTAGCAAAAGTTTATGTCTTCTACGTTTGTCTACGGGTTTCCCTACAGTAAAATTCTTCGCAAGAAGCGATTCCCGATGGTGTTGTCTCTGAACGACAGTAAACACGGAAAAGTTGGCACAGGTGCACTTTACACGAAGTTTCCTCATTGTATGACTTTCTGATGTATCAAATGGTTCATTGAGTAAACAATTTCATCTTCGTTCTATCGCCTTTCAATCGAAACTTTTATTAATTTATTAGATTCATCGATCGTTTATTAGATTTCATCGTTCGCGAAATAAAAATAATACTCCTTTAATAAGATTGTTATTCAATTTTAATAAAATGTTAAACATATTCAAGAGTATTTAAAAAATGTAATATTAATTAAACAACTCACATTATTCTTTTGGCAAGTTGCACAGCAATATCAAAAATTGAATCCTAATAGACATTAAACAAATTCAAATATTTCTAATATTTTAAACCCAATTTAGTTATTAAGAATATAATAATATGGAAGTATTCTAATATCGTTAATCACTCGTAATATAATGAAAATAATGTCTGCTATTTCAATATTTTATGCAGAATCCGTGTAAACTCGAACTAGCTCCACATATTTTGTCAAAAGGACGACCAAGAATCTAATAAGCTGAATACCACAAAGAGACTCGGTCTCAAATTATTGGAGTGCCATGGAACACAGGAATTCGATATAGGAAACCACATACTAACATTGTGTTCAGTGAAATTTTGAATATGAAACTTGCTTTACATACAACAAAAATTCACATCGTTGAATTTTTCTTGAATAGTATCTATTTACTTTCAATCTTGTAGCTTACAAAATGTAACATTTCGTACTTCTATCAAATGAGAAAATAAAATGAAAAGTGAAGTAATATTAATTTATTTAATTTTGTCATTATTGTAAATTAGAAAAAAAGAACTAAAAAAATTAAATATAATTTCAATGTCACACTCTCTTATGTATGATTTTATATAAAATGCGCCATTTTAAAAATAAATAATATATTTTTATTATTTACATTGTAATCTTCAATTAGTAAAATTGTAATACTTTGATTTTTTAATCTTTAATTTCATCTATCTAAAAATTCAAGTTCCCAAGTCATGATTTTTTTATGTGACTTTAAATATTATCAAAGCCATTACTGACGAACATATTCAAGATATTGAACATAATATCTTACTCCTGATAAAATATCTCAATTATGCTTCTTAGAAACAGATAATTCTCATCTTTGTAGTAAATTCCACGCAATTCAATCAATGCGATAAACAGCATGCATAAAATGTGGGTTGCATGAAATGATAATCATAAAACGAAATAGAATTTCATTGGGAACTTGATTCCTGCTCGAGTCTCGTTACCTCGAGGCCTCTCATCGCTTTATGCAAACAGCACAATACTTGTCATTGCGACAGCATAGCCGGAAATAGAAGCAGGGAGATAGCTGTTATGGCGTTGGACTGGTTGGAGTCTGACTGTTGACTCGGCAAATAGGAAAAGCGTACAGGAGCTTGTGCAATGTTGACCGAGACGTTGGTAAAAGTTGTCCGGACAATACGCGGAGATATTAAATGTTGCCAAAAAATGTTTGCGTCAAATTTCGCAGAACGTATGTCGTAAACATTAATCGATTACTTGTAATGTATTATATCATATTATAAAAGTTTAACTATAATAAATAATAAAATGTGCTAACATAAATTTTATTCTCGATGCTAGCAACAGTATGAGAGCATATACGGGATCAAAAATTACTTTACCATTATAAAGAGTGTATACCGGGCAAAATGTGATAAACGTGTTTCAAAGAAAAGTGTAACGCGGTTCTGACACGCGCAAAGGTTAAAAGACGTTTTGTAAAACATATAAATGTGATGGCTTCAGGTCATAAAAATTCAAAGAGAATAAATCTTTGAAGAGCTGGTGGAAAAAATGCGTTAAAAGCTCAGGAGAGAAAAAAAGATGGAAAAGCCATGAGGATTTTATAAATAATAGTCAATGTAATGTTACACATTTATATTCTATCGTAATAAATGCACGAAAAAACTGGTTTTAATATGGATCATTGACTCAGCTTGTGTCCCAAATAATACAAAATAAAGCCAGAATATAGACAGATAGGAAGAGAAGGTACGCTTCGTTAAGCAATATCGTGCCGTAACAAGGAAGATATATTCGAATTTAAGGACCCGCAGGGCGTAGCGCGCGAGCTAGGAAGATATTCTTCGACAAATCCAAGGATATTAACATCTACGCATAAAACGCTGATCACGTAGACCGACATGGCTACCGTGTCTACTAAAACCGAATTAAACTTATCGCGTCAGCCGAGTGCGTCCTTAAATTAAATTTCCATGCTGTAAAAGAGGATAAATTTCCGCTCCGCCGAACCGGCAAACCACGAAGGGAGCATCCGATGTAGATACAAAAAGTGAGATTTGACTTAATTTATTTTAGCATATTTATTGTGCTCACGGTTTATGCTTGTCATAAGAATCGCAGCGCAAGAATACGAAGAGTGAATGAGGATCAGAATGGCGTGAAGGGAGAGATACTCGCAAAGTAATTCGATAAAATTGACTAAGTTATACGCCTGCATGAACGTCGGTCCCTTCCCTTCTGCGCTGTCCACCGCCATCACACACAAATCTAATTCTCGTCTCTAATGATCGAACTCGTGCCACCAATCGTCGAATATTCAGTCGGGATTACATTTCTTTTGAAAATTTCGTCGTCGTAATCAGATCGCGGTCGGAAGAAATTCGACATGGGCTAGAAGTCGAAGACAAAATCTCATGAATAATTTCTTATTGCGTCAGCACGCTTATAACACATCAACAATAGACAAGCCTGAAGACTCCATCTACAATTCCGATGATGACTCTCTTCGATCGACTCTCTTCGAGGGCGAGGCTATTATTATCAACTTGCACATCCTTCGCTTGCAGCTCACGTAAAAAATTCATCGGAATTCGCATTCAGAAGTATTACCGATGATAAGAGACTATGCGAAAAATTTGCGAGATGTAGATTAATGAAGATAACGCTCCAAACAGAAGCAGCAATAAAAATAACGATAAATAAGATCATAATTAAACCAAGTAATAGAAAATATTTTCAAACAATGTAAAAAGACTTTCATATTACGCGAGCAGATTCAATAAATTATCATTAATACATATTTCACGGAGCAATCTAGAGTGTGAAGAAAGAACGACTTTCATTACGACATAGCCGTGATAAATAGAAGAGTAAGAATAAGGTTACTCAAAAGGACAGTATCCTTAATAGTCAATGAAGCTTTTGTTATTCGCGAAGTTAAAATGTCACGCACGAAGTGCCATCCGATTACTTCGTGATGGTTTGACATCTACCTGCAAAAAAAAATATATGTCCCCTGTTTCCGTATTCTCGCTACTTCGCCACAGATTTACATGTAATTTATGACGAAGCGTGTTTCGGAGAGAAGAGAACAGTGGTAACAAAGTTTATAAAAGCCGGTGTGCACAAGCGAAAGCGAAGTGAAAACGTGAATATACAATTAGTTTTTAATAAATGTTAATTTGCATGAAAAGTTTTAATGCGAGGTTTATTACTGGTCTTCGCGGACAAAGCGGACATTATCTAAAACAATGTATAGATATTCTTTTGCAATAAAATTTCTTATATAAAGTATGAAGTTTCATATTCTACATTTTTTGCATTTGTTAATTATGATTTACCGATACTAAAGGAGACGTATACATTATATATTGAAAATGTCGGTTGGTTACGTCGTTCCATTCCGAATACTAATTGTGGAAAGCGAATTCAATCTAGTCGACACCTTGATAATCAAGTTAAGACTCCTCGCTCTTGAGGGACATACTACAATACTGACGTGCACGCAGAATAGAATATCACGATATGCTTGCGTGCACACAATTTGCAAAAAGCGTTTTAAGTCACTCATTTTAATTTACAAAGGAAACATTCTTGCATCAGAAAACAGACATGTTACTTTTAGCCACATTTTCTACATATTCTCTTCCCTTTTCATTTTCTTCACAAAGCGTGGACATATTCAGTTTAAGTATAAAGAATTTAGAAAAGTACTTAAAAAGCGAAAAGAATAATATTACTCTTAAAATTATTTGTCAAAAAATATACGGCTGAATTGAATTATTATATCCATCAAATCAATGTAACATCGTTATATTTCTAATTTATTATAATATCGTTATTTGTACTCCAATATTTTTCATAACTGTTTTACAACATTATCTCATTAGAACTTTATACATCTATTTGTCTTACTCGATATTACACGAGCCAAAATCAGTTAGTATTTCAATTCACGTATAAAATACGTATTAAATTCTCTATCCGCTGATCAGATAAATCTTTCGCAAAATATGCAATATTCCACACAAGATCGTTTAATATATTTATCGCCGACATTCACCTAAAGAACATGTGAATATCCTTACTGTCGCACCCTAGGAACATGCGTTACGTTACCATATTCTCGTCAGTCTCTCTCCGCACTCGCGTAATTTATGCGCTTTAATTAGCCGGGATGCCCGAGGACAGACGGGCTCTTCCCATTATCGTAACTCCGCCATTTTCGGCGACGCGAGAAAACGGCTAAGTTTTACATCGCAAGTTCCACACATATTGTGTCCGACGTAAAAGATCTCAGACAAGTCTACGTGTCCAGACCGACGTACTTCGATTGCAATAGAAAAAAGCCGACGTATAAAATAAAACAGAACCCGAGAAAGAATAGCATTGTCGCGAAAAACATGCGCGCTCTTCGTTGAGAATATTTCTATCCCGCAGCAACACCGGAGTAATCAATCGATATCTTCCGATCGGGTTCCGAAGTTAACCGACCGTTAATTGTTATCTGTTTCTACTAAGTTTCCGATTTCGAGAGACGCGTAATGACGCCAAGTTTATCAGACTGTTGACTTTCTCTATACCGCATGAAAATACATCTTATACATATGTAAAGGAAATGCAAAATAATCCCTTTTCAATATTAAATAATTTTGATAGTTAAAATGTTGAGTTAAAATACAACGCAATATTAAATAACATTTCAATTATATAAATATTTTATTCTATTGCTATTAAATTTAAAAGAATATTTAAAAACGTAAAACAAAGCTTTTATCAATAGAAATTCTCATGTTACATGTGCAAACAGAAATATATTTTGCACAATAATTATAATTGCAAATCTCTATTGCCAGAGAATGTAAATTAATAAAATTCAAATAGCGATAAAATAAGAAACTACGTGCAGAATATTCGAGCGGCATTTATCGAGGAAAAAATAAGACAGCTCCTGTATTCCTTTTTTCTGCACGTACCTTTCAGTTATATAATGCTATTGTCCTGGCAGCTTCACGCACGCGTATAAGTAAGCGGGCTTACCTGAAGCACTGATTTATCGAGTCCCGCGACGAGGGCGGAAGCTGAAGTAGAGGGTGAAGGTGAAGACGAAACCGAGGAAGTAGAGGGGCTGCTAGTCGCTACGGGGGTCGACGGTGACGAGGGGGCGGGAGAGGGTGACAGCCCCCGAGAGCCCCCTGCAGCTGCACCCGCCGCCCCCGGTGCTGCGGTGCTTACACTCCTTTCCACTTCTGTAACAGGGAAACAAAACCATATCTCCATTAGAGCGCGTCGCACCGTAAAAGTCAGCAGGCCGTATCTCCTGCGGCCGCCCGCCGACGTGACGAAAATTGATGCGTACTCGGCGCATCAGGAAGCAAAACGAGCATTCAGACATCCGCGGAGTTTCGGTGATGCTTCCGTACCACTGCGTACATGCACCGAAATATCGATCATTCGAGCTTATCGGTAGTAATGATTGTCACAAGTCACGCGCAATTGAAAAGCCACACGATTAGTGACGTAAAGATCGTATTTTTGCGTACAACATCCCGTTACATTACGTTTTCCACGAAAACTGGTAATTTTCCAGTCGACCCGACAACGTTGTATTCTTTCTCACGTGCGGTGACAGATAACAAGACGGAAAAGGAAAGTTTGTGTGCTCATGGGCAGAAAGATAGAGAGAAGGAAACCGAGAGGCGGAATGGTTTCGAGGCACGTACCGACGGATACACGGTCAATTCATTGAATAGGAAAGTAACTTTCATAGTTTATAAGTTTACCCGCTTCATCCCCTCGATCGAGTCGGAGCGAGGCCACAGCGGATCCCAGGTGAACCCTACGCAGAATCGTCGAAGACGAGCTTAATGCCCGTCTCTAATGTAATTGAAAACTTTCGTAAACGCTTTTTCCAACCCCTCGATTTGTAACGCTCCTCTACCAGCCTTTAAACGCTACTTAGAAACGCATTGCGCTATTCGATAATAATATGAAATTCTGTTCCATTTACCTTTAAATGCATTCCGTTTGTATTTACACATGTTCGCTAATTCGATAGAGTGAAATCGAGTAAATTAATAAATTAAAATTATTTGTAACGATAATTTGTACTAATTAATTGCATCCATTATGATAACAATATCATAAAGCTGTTATATTTATCCGTAAAAATTAATATTATATATATTAAAATTTTACTTTAAGCATTCAAATAATATTATATTTGAAAATAACATATTTTATTATACTTTTGCGATATACTTTAAAATAAATAAATGTTATCATGTGATTATAATTGCAATCAGTAGAACTTGTAAAATGTATTGAACATTCCTGTTTTAGTTCGTTAATTATTACCCATATAATTTATCTCTATTGTATCACACATACAGCAAATAGGAATTACACACTTATTTATTAACGAACCAAACGAACGTCGTCTTTAATACATTTTATAATTCCGTTTTATTGAGTGAAAATATTACAATTTGAGAAATATATTTCGCGATATATATTGTAAAAATAATTTACATATTATTCTCCATCATTAATTATGCATCAAGATATGTATACTCGCGCGAATATAATAGAACTATAACCTGTACAATAAAATTATCAAAAATGCGATAAGTGTTGACTTTGGCAAGACCCTGCAAAAAACGTAAACTATTTTTGCGATTTCATCTAGCATTTGAATATTTCGTCGAGTACGAGAATACATGTATTTTTTACAATGAATTCTAAACGTGCCGCAACTCGAAGATTGCCTCTGGAGATGATAACTTATGCACGGAACCGCCTCAGTCCAGTTTTACAGAAGCTATTATATTTTTATTCTCGAGCTTTTACGTTCTGGCTAGTACCGGCGAGTATTATCTTAACAACCGGTCCTGCCCCCGTTTTACTGCTGAATTTCACTGTACTAAACTCGACGACGGAACGAGGAAGAAAAACTACGAAAACAAAGAGGGAAGCCAAGGAGAAGCGAAGAAAAGCAAGCGATGAAACGACGAGTAGACAATGTCGGCACGGGAAAGCAGTTTGCCCGCGTAATTACTCACAAACCGCGAAACTTTCGCCGGTGAAGAAATATTTCTCCGACTCCGGCGATATTTCTTATTGCGTTCGGTGAACTTCGAGAACGAGCTACGCGCTCACGACAAAGCACTTTGTCGTGAGGGTCGCGGGAAAGCGGTGGAACTGTAAGCAGCGCTGCTAATTCAAAGGGGAAGCGGTTATGCAAACGTACCGCGAGACATTCACCGTGAACTCTCAAGGATACCGTCCACCTTCTGAAGCTCAAATTTCTGCGCGTCCCATCTCGTCCGCTCGCGCAAATTGTGTGCATACAATTTGTAAAGTTGAGCACTGTGCAAATCTCTGTCGAAACAGCCAGAGATCTCCATGAAGAAAATAGCTACTCTAATTTGAATATCTCCTATAGTTTTGCGTGGACGCAAATTGAAGTAACGAGATTACTTAAACGCAAAATAAACGTAAAGAGTTTAAATCATTGATATATGCAGGATACACACAGATAGAAAATGTAATAATAAAAATCGTCAGAAATTTTGCAATAAAAAATCAATAAAAAATTTAAAAAGTAAATGCTCTGTTATTATGACTATAAATTCTATAAAATATGTAATATACAGGGTGTCTGGCAATAATCGCCCCACCGGTCATATACAGGTAGAGGAGGTCAAATCGAGTAGAAAAGTCCTTTACCATTTTTTAATTTTCATAATAAGTACTGAGTAATTAACGAAAAAAGATCGGCGAATCCGCGCGAGTAAAGCGCGCGCGGTGAGAAGGACGTCCCACTGCTACGCGATCACTAGGACACAAGGATCTAGCGTTACGCGCCGCTCGTATGTTGCCATTGTCACTTGTAGAGCGCTCCTCCCAACGCTTCATCGCGCGCCTAGTGATCGCATAGCAGTGGGATGTCCTTCTCGCTGCGCGCGCTTTACTTGCACGGATTCACCAATCTTTTTTCGTTAATTACTTAGTACTTATTACAAAAATCAAAAAATGGTAAAGGACTTTTCTACTCGATTTGACCTCCTCTGACCTGTATATGACCGGTGGGGCGATTATTGCCAGACACCCTGTATATACAATTATATGAGTTACTCGAATTCTCTATTTATATAATTTGAGAATTTATTGTTAAAAAGTTATTTAAAAAAATAAAAAAGTATTAATAAGAGAGAGAAACTTAAATACATAAAATTGAGATTAAATACACAAAAAAAATGGTCAAACGTATAGAATTCATTATACACACTGAATATTAGCGCATTAAATAATCATATGCTAAATATATGAGTGCACATATGCACAATGTAAGCCGGAATTTCGCAAGAGAAAAGGAGGGATTTAATACAGATAAGGCACACAGGCTTCGGTGCATAAACCACAGAGCGTTCACAAAGTTCTGTCACAAGTCGTCGCAACTTCTAAGCCCCGTACACGTGAGGGTTACATAGTCTCTGCGGCGGTCGGATGAGTTACGATACACGCTAAATACATAATAAGCATGACGGTGCATGCTCTGTCTCGTTTGCTTTCGTCCTGTCGGATTATGGTAAGCAGGGATAAAATCCAACTAGTTTAGGGAATCGATCTATGTAAACTTCATGCAAACTTTTTCCTAAGTGCCGTCGCATTAATGATACATGCCGATATTACACAAAATATACGTTCATTTCCTTTCTATCGACCATTTATATACCAACTCATCATCCTACACTTTACGTCTACAAATAATGATAATGTAAAATATAATGTATTTTACAGATGAAACATTGTATTCGACATAACGCTGCCTTTGCATTTTTAATAATTCCATTATTTAATAAAGCATAAGAAAACGCAATATGGCAATATTATTTTTTCTAAACTTTCAATTTTACAGAAATCTCAAGCGATAAATTTTTCATTCTAAACTGTTACTAAAAATCTTCACTACTTAAAATACAATATTTTTGTAAGAGAATATTCAAAGTTCAGGAGACGAATCGTGTTTATTATTCCTAATTTAGACAGCGTAACGCATATGATACTTTCCGACGTTGTACGGCTTGAAGGAGAGTAGCCCTTGAAGAGGACATTCGTAACACTTGTCGCTGCAACAGCTGCTAGGAGGGAGTTATTGTTCCCGTAACAACGGCAACGGGGTGAAACGTTTCCCATGTCGCGCGAATCACACGGTTGCCCATCATCCGCCACTCAAAACGCGTATCAAAAATAACAAAGCACACGTGCTAGTCAATAAACTGCCGTACGAACCGCATATATATCAACGGATATGCCTATCCATAACAATAAAAAAAATATTGTATTATATTAAAAAGTTTATATGGCAAAATTAAATAATTTTAAAATCGCTATAAAAACTGAATTAAACATAAAAAGAACAAACATAACGTTAAAAATAAAGCATAAATGTACTCGTATTAAAATAACAAATACATAATAAAAAAGTATCTATAATAAAATTTAAAATAAAAATATAAAACATGACTATATATAATATAATTATAGATATGGAATACACACATGGAATCATTAATTCTCCATTAAAACGAATGAGGAGAACGTTGAGATTAAGAATATTATACAAAACTCAATATCAAGCAAGAGAACTATTAGAAGTTTAGTAAATACGAAACATGTTTAATGAAATAGATATGTAAGATAATAAACGACGTGCGTGAATCAGACGATAAATCTTTGTGACAGTAATATATCTTACGATCCGACATGAAAAAATGTCTTGTTCGATTATGAAGTTAACTACAACATCGATCAGGTAGATTACAAATCTTGTAGAATAGTTAGTTATTCAACCTCTTTGACTAGAGAATAGAATATTGAAATATAAAATTTTAGCATAAATTGCATAAATATGATAACATTCCTATATATTACTGTATGTATTTATAAAACCACTGACAAAACAAAATAAAAATACCACTTTAATCATTTTGCGGCAATATAAAATCTTGCGCCGTTCGAAAGTACAAGATTTATGCAGTGGAAGAAGAACAATACGACTCAGACAGTCAGCGTTGAAGTAGAAACTCCTTGTTAGCAAGCTGTACGGCGAGGCTCGGCAAGCATCGCCATGGGATGACCTGCCGTGAAAAATAGGACGAATTTACAGCGGAAAGCATCAATTCTTTCCGTGGCAGCAGTTTTATCCCGGCAAGGCCGCGGGGAAAGGAAGGCACGCGGATACTTG